TCCATAGTTTGTAGACTTCTCTCGTATGATTCCTTGGTTGGCCATGTTTCCGAACTATATAGAATAGTTGGTTGTACTATGGAACTGTAAATTTTTCCCTTTAATTTGTGTGGGATTCTTTTGTCAAATAGCACTCCAGATAAAGATCTCCACTTTAACCACCCTTGATTAATTTTACTCTTTATCTCTTTTTCTATTGTGCCGTTTGTTTGTATAGTGGAGCCCAAATATTTGCAGCTTTCAATTGCCGATATCTGCCATTTATTTATAACACTACTCTCAGTTTCATTTCCTATCACCATATATTCCGTCTTTTTTCTATTTACTTTTAGTCCGTGCTTTTCTAGGATTAATCCAACTCACTATTCTTTGTTTCATTTCATCCTTGGAGTCGGCAAGTATCACAATATCATCTGTGCAATATATTTTTATTTAAATTATATGCTCATATACATATGAGATAAAATTTTCACTTAAAATTTTTATTTTTTAGATAAAAAAGCATTAAATAAAAGTATATAAAAAGGTATTTATAAATAGATAACATACCTCTAAAATAGTGTATAGATATAGATGCCATATTTTTTATACAACTCTGATAATCTTATTATATAAAAGAAGAAATTTTTTATTTAAAAAAATAAATAAAAAAAAGTATAATACTAAATTTTATTTTCTCTTTTATTTATTAAAAAAATAAGCATCTTTTTATTTGCTTCCCTAATGCTTATTTTTCAAACTAAAACAATATATTCGCATAATTTTTTCTTTATTTATTAAAAATAAGCAATATTAAATTTGCTTCCCTCAAATTTTTTAAAAATTATATTAAATATTTAAAAATTATATTAAATTTTTTAAAAATTATATTAAATTTTTTTAACAAGTCAGATCAGTTTTTTTTAAAATATATTATAAACATTATATTAAATTTATTTAAAAATTTTATAGGAAAATTTTCAAAGGAAGCAAAGCTTCCATTGCTTCTATGGAAGCTTCGTAACTGATAGGCACTGATTATTGATATAAATATGATAATGCTTCCATATCCTTAGATGACTTTACGTTTAAGGCGTGATTTCGCATTTTGAATTAGGTTCGTGATTCTGTTACATTTTTTTGTGGATCGCGACATTGATTAAAGAATTGATAAGTAATAAATATTAAAGAAAACTTGATTATTATAACCTATATTCTCCGTTCTGTCATGATGATAATTATGACAATCTTTTATTTTTACCAATTATTCTAACCCTTTATTAATTAGAATAAAGCAATAAAATGTTTTAATAAAGCACTACTCAATGGTTTGTTTCAGATATTTCTAAAAACTTGACTGACTTCACGCTTAAAGCATGACATCATAATTTTCATTTTGTTTATAATAACATTTTGGAGTATATTCTAAGGATAAAAGTAGTAATCAAGCAATAAAAATTAACATACACCAAATATATAGTTTTTTAATAATCTATTCTAACCAATGACATATATATCATTGATTCTAACATAGTACCAATTTTTCTAAAAATGGATTAAATTAATTTACAGTTGAGCACTAAACATTGATAAAATTTTCAGAATGATGCTTTCAATTGCTTTTCAATCGTAAAATTGCTTATAACTTTCTATAGCAAACTAAAATTTATGCCAAACATTACCAATGACATATAATAATACCTAGACTGACAATTGATCCATTAAAAGTGTACATCAATACAATTCAGCTAGAGACGCCATCTTGGTTACTGTAATAAATATTAAAATTTTAAACTAGAGCCTAATTTTATATTATATCTGATGCAAACTTTATTAAAGAATTGCCTGATCATCGAGATAATAAGAAAGTAAGTTATCAATTTAATATTAGTTTTTAACATGAAAATAATTATTATAAAGGTTACCAAAATGGCGGGTCCAGCTGATTTGCTTTTAACGACGCTTAAAAATGCATTTTAATGAATGAATCGTCAGTCTAGGTATTATTATATGTCATTGAACATTACATAGAAATGAAAGGCTTACTATTTGCAAAATATGTGAAAATATTATAATTATTATAAATTTGTGTCGTAATTATTATGGAAACGACGGATTTTTTTTAGGGAGCAGGCATATAGGTTGGAGGATTAAATAAATTATATGTCAAGTAGATACAGCCTAGAGCAATTCATGTTCAACTCATCCGGAAAAGAACATAGTATTATTCTATTCAAGGAACGTAAATAAATAGATCGCAATTTTATATGTATTGATGTATTTGCTGCTAGCAATGACATATAATGTCATTGGCTGCTAGCAATTCCCTTTCAAGCTTCTCTATCTTAGATTCAAATTTCATTAAACTTTTATTTATTCAATTTATTTTTTATTCCATTTATCACAGTCATTTTAGGGAATTTTGGACCTGCTGTTATAAATATTTTATAGATAGTAACATCTTATCACAATCACAACAGGAGATCCCAATAAAATATTTTATCTAACCAACAAATATCCATAAATATATAAAAATCAAATCTAACCTGATTATTACTACTTATGGTTCGATTGATATGATATAAGAGATTATTTTTGCTTTTATTCCTGAAGCCTTATTTAAATATTTACCTATGAAAATTTATATTTTTATATCTATGATGTATGCGTGTTACATTATAGGAATTAATAAATTAAAATATTGGTTATTGAATAGTAATATGTTTTAATTTATATAACGTACATTCATTATATTTATTTAAATAATATTTTTATTCTTTTTATGAATTCAAATTCAACTTATATTACTTTTTATTTTTCGTAACCTTACTTTTTGTTTTTTGTTTAATCATATATATTATAATTTTATATAGTATATATATATAGCATGTGTAAAAAGAGAAGAAGTTAGTTAATAATAATAAAATATATTTTTACTTTCTAGCACGTTTTACTTCCTTCGTTCTTTTCATGGTGCCCTGGCTCTGGGTGGTGGACTAGAATGAGGACTTCCTAACCTATCGAGATGACTACCTATTGAGATGACTACCTTATCTATTGATATGACTACCTAACCTATTGAGATGACTGCTTAACCTATTGAGATGACTACCTTATTTATTGATATGACTGCCTAATCTATTGAGATGACTACCTAATTTATTGACATGAGCAATGCCTAATCTATTGATGACTGCTTAACCTATTGAGATGACTACCTATTGATATGACTGCCTAATTTATTGAAATGACTACCTAATTTAATGATATGACCAATGCCTAAGCTACTGAGATAACTTCCTAATCTATTGATATGACCAAGAATCAAACCTTAGCACGTTCTTTCATGCAAAAAGCTTCTTTCTTCATGGTGTCCTGACTCTGGATGTTGGACTGGAATATGATAACCAGCACCTAACCTAATGTGGCAACCTAGAAAGAACCAATATGGAAGTTGGACGTTAGGTTATGAATTCTATATTGTGAGACCAATGATGATTACTTATTATTCGAATCCATGTAAGAAGAAAAGTTATTATAAATTAAGATTTTATGCCGGGATAAAGGCATGTTATAAATTTTTAAAATAACTAAAATGTAAAATCATAATGGATATATTTGAACACATAAAAAGCCTTATTTTTTACTTAATTTCTTAGTGAAATATTGATATTTTTTTGATTTCTTGAATGATGACCAATTGTTGTAAATTAACTAAACCTAAAGATGAATTCTTAGAAATAATTAAAAATAAACCATTAAAAATCCTAAACAAGAAGATAAAACTTTAATTTTAAATATATTAAAATGTAATTAAAACATGAATTAAAAGGTTTAAATCACATGATTGATTTAAATAATCCTTATAACTATAAGTAATATTTAATATGATAAAAATGTTTTTGAAATAAAGCTTTTGAAGACAAGTGGTTATGTTACATCTTCATTAGATTAATATTTAAATGATATAATGAGATCATTTTCTAAAAATTATCTTATGAAGAATTTTTATTAAAAATAACACTCTTTGAATTAAAACTAGGGTGTGAAATTTAAATTTTTTATTTAAAGAGAGGGAAATGTGAATATAATTTTATTTGCATATTTTAACCTCGGAGATTGAAAATAAATAAAAATAAATTAAATACTAAAACGCGAAAAAATAAAAGTCATTAAAACGCGAAAAATTAAAACGCTAAAAATATTATATAACAATCTTATTGATTTATCATTCTTCACTTATTTTTATATTTTGATGAACTATTATTTCTTATTATTCGTAACTTACTGATAATAACGATTTTGAAAAATGATAATAATAACAACTGAGCACTACAAGCAAGCTACATGAAGTCACGATTTGTAAAACATTCGATATGGATATCAAGCTCACGATTTAAACAAAAACGTGCAAAAACGAACAAACCAACGATTTGGACAAGCCAACGATTAATGACTTATGCAACATTGACAACCAAAACGATAAACCACTTGAACAACAAACTCTCTATGACTTCTTAGATGAAATTATGGGAAGGCTTGTAGAAGAGGGAGAATGTTACATTATGGGAATAAATAAATTAAAATATTGGTTATTGAATAGTAATATGTTTTAATTTATATAACGTACATTCATTATATTTATTCAAATAATATTTTTATTCTTGTCATGAATTCAAATTCAACTTATATTACTTTTTATTTTTCGTAACCTTACTTTTTGTTTTTGTTTAATCATATATATTATAATTTTATATAGTATATATATAGCATGTGTATAAAGAGAAAAAGAAGTTAGTTAATAATAATAAAATATATTTTTACTTGCTAGCACGTTTAGCATCCTTCGTTCTTTTCAATGCGAAAATTGTTTTTTAATATTTTTTAGCCTATATTCTAACAATTATTATAACTGTGGTTACCTTAAGGGTGAATACAAACTAATATATGATTTTATATCTGAAATTTTATTATCTATGATTGACGTATAATTATTGTGACATTTATACTAGCTTGGTATAGTCATTTTAACATGTGTTTTTCAAAATGGTTGTAAATTTATTTTTAAAAAGTATTCCAAACACTCATATATAATTATTATCGATTAATTTAGCAATACAATATAGCAAAAATAATCTATTCAACCCTACCTCAGGTCTTTTTAAACCTCGATATTACTGTGAAACAAAAAAAGCAATTATTAGAACAACATCTCCAATAGTGACTAAATCTTTGAATAAATTTGGTCAATACATCACAGATATATTACCAAAGTATGTGCAAAAAGTGAACATTGCGTTAGGTAATCTGAAACAATTGCTTTTGAAAAGTTTTTTTTATAGGGGATGAATTGGAAATTAAAATATGCCCAGAAGGAATTTGTCCTGTGATATCTTTTCTCAAAGATCATCACTCTTGTCAATTCACAAATTTAACAGATATTTGTGCTCTTGATGTGCCTTCTAGGAAATATCGTTTTGAGGTTATATATATTTTAATCAATCTTTTTCAGATATCTTGAAGATTTATTTTTGTTAATCTGGTCTAAGCTTTTTTATTTTGAAAATTTTGATGATTTAACACATGGATTTTTTAAATGTTATTTTAACCAGAGAAACATAAAATACTTGAGATAAGCTATATTTTTTAATAAAAGAAGTATTTACAAACTTATCTTTTCATGAAAGAGGTCTGAAAGGAATGACATCCAGTAATTTTATTTTCTAAAAAGACAATTATGTCATCTTGAAAACACTAAAATAAAATTTTTCATTCATTGATATAAAAGATATTAATAAAAAAATGTAAATCATATGTGCATAATTTGCTGAAACTTGGAAGGAACATATTTTATTGATAAATATTTACTTTTTAAATATTTACTTTTTTTATAAATATTTTTTTAAATGGATGAAAATAGAAATATATCTATTTTAACAATGATGTCCATTAATTATGAATACAAAGATAATAAAAAATTTCATATGTATTTTTAGCTATAAATTATATTCTAAGATTATTTCAATTATTTTTATGTGATATTTATTGATGCACAAAATTATTTTAACAAATAAATTTATTTAGAATAGTGTAAAAATTTTTTAATAAATTTGAAAGAATGATAATATATAATGTCATTTTTTAAAATTTTATAATGTTCAATTTGGAGAACAAAATATAAAGAAAATGTTTATGCATTTTATGAGGAGTTTTTATTCAAAAATAACAGTAAACCCTATAATTATGAATATTTTATTGTAATTTTTGGTATCACCTACTATATTAGATGAAATGAATTTATTTTTATTATAAATATTCATGAATATTATAAAATAAAAAACTTAATAAAAAAAATCACAATTCATTTCTAAACACATAATTTGAATATATAAGCAATATATTTTCTAATATAATTGGATTTATATTTGTTTGTTGTGATAATAACTCTAATTTTAATCACAACTTATAGCTACATTCAGAAAAAGGTTATTAGCAGTTATATTTCATAAGTAACTAGTAACTTTATAAATCATGTATATAAAACATCATATTTTTTATTTAATATAAAAAAATTACTATTTATTTATATAAAAATATAATTACACGGGAAAAAAACCGAAGTTTAGAATATATTAACACCAAAATAAAATATCAGAATATGATATATTTCCACTGATTATTTTTATGAAAATTTGGGCTTAGTAGATTTCTATTTTCCTTTAATAATATACTATTTAAAAAATTTCTGTCAATAGGATACACTTGTTTCTCTTAAAAATGAGCCTTCCTAGAGTGAGAAAACGTTCTATGCGAACACTTGGTGTAAGAATAACATTATTTAATAAGAATTAATAATTTAATATCTTTTAATTAGTTTGGATGACCCAGATTTATTTTATAAATTGGCATCTTATATTGCTACTAAGAATAATGTATGACAAGAACATCAACATTCCATGAGAAGGTAGTCAAAGCAATTGTAATTATTAAATTAACTTAATTTATTTGATAATTCTATAATATTTAGTTAAACAAAAATCTTGTTGCATATATATCAAACTAAAATTTAGTACAATTATCTAAGACATATTTTGTGGAAATAATCTTACAAAGTGTGTTCCCATAGCTTGGGTGTGGATGACTTAGATGCTAAAATATACCTTTTTTGGAAGGCATAGGAGCAGTATTATTAAATGGCATAGTTTTGGTTGGTTAAAAAAATGGCCCGATTAAGATTTTAGCTAAAATAATATTATATAAGCCTCGAGATTTAACAAATAGGAGTCCAAACCTTTCTGTTATCAATGAGCAAAATCTTCAGGCTATTATTTTGGCTAAAATCTTAATCGAGTATTTTTTAAAAATTGATCTAACAACCCTTTAATATTATATAGAAAACACTTAACGCTAATATTGTCTGTACAACCAGTCTTCTGTGAAATACAAAATACTTTTTGAAGCTTGACTAAAGTATTTTAACATCTAAGCCTTTTTGGTAATATTTTTTGAAAGAGGTAGTACAATTTTTATTTCATCATTCTGAATCATTTGAATGTCATTCTCATTAAATGACTAGTGGGAATTAGAATTTATATTAAATTCTATACTTAGACTTAGCCATGGAGAAAAAAGGGGAAATCCCCACTTTGGAAATTTGTTTGTTATTGTAAATATCATTTTAAACTAGTAAAAAATCCCCTCCTAAACACCATCACCCCCCCCCCCTCTCCAAAATATATTCAATATATCACACTATGCACAATAATTTGAAAGAAAAAAAAGATAAAGTTATAATTTTTAGAAATAACGACTATAATTTATAATTTAAAAAATAAAATGAAAACCCAATTATTTTTATAAAAATATAACCTAGCTAAAGGCCTACAAAGGTGGACTTACTAATAAAATTTATGGGGCAAATACCCACACAATAATGCTTTCCCCCTAGCAAAATTCAGACTACAGCTATGATTCTATATTTGATTCTTATCAATATTAATAAAAAAAGGCCTACATACAGAATCAGATATTTAATCAAAATAAATTAATAAGTTTAATTTGAAATTAATTTATTATAATAAAAATAAAATTAATTATTTGAATAGATTTATAATAATATATATTAATATTTTAAAAGATAACCTTACATTACATTCCAAAAAATATCCCATCCCACAGTTACTAGTTATCAGTAACTAGTTTTACAAGTAACCAGTTACTTTAACAACACTACCGAAAAGGCTCTCTCAATAGTAACGTATGTTACAGGACACACAAGTATTGAAAGTGCAGGTTTATACAATTCTGGGTATTTAAATAGATTATCAATATATAAAAAGTAGTGCTGTAAACATTTCTAAAAAAATCAAACGTGTTCAACGTTAACAAAAATCGTATGTATGTTCACCTTAAAAAAAAGGAGCGTGTTCACTTTGGTGAACGTATTCACTTTCGTTCGAAACTGAATAAATTTTTAGAAAAATTTAATTTAATATAAAAAAATGCCTTGTATTTTTTAACACAAGATATTAGCCATGTTTAAAATTAATGGTTATCTTGATACATATAGATACAAAATAATATAGTGAAATTTTTAATATATAAAATTAATTTTTTAACTAGCAAATACCACATCCCTAATTCAACTTTTGGACATAGGCGCAATTAGGTCCTTAAAATGTCATATAGAAAGGGTATCAATTCAATAAAAATAATATTTTATTTGATTTTTAAAATTTTACCTTAAGTAATTCATAAACAAATCTCTAAGAAATATTATGAATATTAAATATACAACTATAATATCTAATACTGATCTCTGGAATTTATGAAATGTCCTTCTACTAAACTCCTCGCCTTCAGAAAAATAGAATTGTTATGTCATATTCTAGCATTCAATATAACATAATAAGCAAAACTTTAAAATACAAAACTAAGAACAAAAATAAAAAATAATACTACCCCTTTATCGAATCTTGGTATGGCCATGTACTATACATCGTAAGCATAAATAAGAATAATAATATATTTCTTATTAAATATCTCACAAAATAATACGGGCGTGTCCTGGATCGACTTATTATTAAACAGCCCCCTATTAATATCAATTAAACAGACTTAAAAAAAAATTTTCCCCAAAAAAACGAAAACAAAATAAAATACGCTAAATAACAATGCTATCAAATACTTGAAACGATTGCTATAAACATTACTTAAAAACTCGTTACGTCTGAAAAAAGGAACGCACTACTGGCTATTCAAAAAAGTAACAGGTTACTCGTTACTTAAAAAATTATATATTATAAAAAAAAAATTTTTCTATATAGGGGAAATCGGTATAAAACGATTAGTATTTTGCATTTTACCATGATATTTTGAAATATATTTATATGTACTCAAATCCCTTTTCTAATAAAAAGGTGTAGCTCTCTACCTATAATACTTAAGGAGCTATGATGATCAATTAAGTGAAGTGTGTCATTTTCATTATTTTACCCCATACATGGCAAAATGGCTAAACATCAGTAAAATGGTTATAATAAAATTGAACATAATTATATAGTTTAATAAATCAAATATTGAAATTTTGACATATTCAAACGGAATTTAAAAATTTTATAAAAAACAGCACATTTTGAATGTTTAGGTTAATCGTACATTACAATTATTTTCCCCCTCAGCGACTATTTATAAAATTTTTATTACAAATAACAAACTATTAATGTTCCTTTTTGCACAAAAGTCTATTTATAGGGTATAGATGTTAATATTTAAAAAATATATTTTTTACAGCTTAAATCAGACGAAACATTTTAACCGTTTTACTCATAGCAACTTTACCCCAAGATGATATATATTGTGTAAACCGTTATTGCGTGACTCCTATTTGAGCTATAAACTTCCGATAAATTTTATTTTATAGCTATATCTTTAAGGAACATGTATGCAAATTTTGAAATTCTGAAACTTGATATATTTTGCTAAAGGAAAAAAAACTACAGGGTGATTTTTATAATTTTTTGGGATAAAAACTGGTTTTTGGCAAAATATGTCAAACCGGTAAAGTTTTTAAAAAGATGAACATAGGTAAGGAATTAGATATAATACATATTCACACCAAATTTAAAGTCTTTATGCTCAAGGGTTAAGAAGTCACTCGCGTTAACATTGTTCCGTCAATCGCTTTACCCCGGTTTCCCCTTTATAATATAAATAAAATTATGCAAAAAATAATATATAAGATAACTTTTTAAAATAATTTTATTCATATAATTTATAAATAAAATAGTACAAAATTAATATATCATAAGATAAGATATATAATTTTTTATTTATTTTTAACAACAATTTATTTTTAAGATTTTGATCAGATAAACAATAATGCTATGCTAAACACACTTCTCTTTGTGCTAAACACACGTTCAACTGGCGCAAAGAATGGGAGAGTTGTATTATATTGAATAAATAAAAATTTTAAATGGGAGGATTTATTTAAAGAAACAATTATCTTTATTCTGAAAAAAGCTTACCTCATCGTCAAATGAATCTTTATTAAATTCTCATCCAATTTTTTAAAATCTTTATTAAAAAATAATCTATACATGTGTTGTTTTTTAAAGTAATCAAGTCTGCCTTTTCTTTGTCAAGATCTACAGGAAATAAGTTCAATCTTCCTTCCTTCGCTAATATCTAGTTTTACGAGGGCCAATCTGATTTAAATATCGGGTATATTATTGCTGATAATATATATTCAATTGAAATAAAATATTATCAAAAAATAAATTCTGAACAATGCTGCTGTACAATTTTTATATTTATCTTGCAGTATTTCATTAAAAAGTGACTTATAAAATGAAATTATTTAACCCATTTTTTTAATATTATAAATTATCTTTGGGATTTCCCAAATGCATTTTTTCTTCTCTCTCTAAAATCGATAGGAACAAACTCAACCTATAAAATCATATATATATAGCCATACAATATTCATCTATGAACGACTTGTCATTATCTGAAAATCTCTGTAATTTAGATTTATCACAAAATTCGTCAAATTTGTGACCATTTTCCAGAATGAATGACTATATTAATTTCACGGAGTTATAGAAAGAGTTCCAAATTCTTATAACCTGTATAATTAGATATCCATTTTTTTCCTTAAAAATGGCTGCACAGTTTGGAGTATGATTATTTTTATTCAACAATTAAGGTTAAAATATATGAGTTGGGACCAATTTACACTTATAAAATGTCTTATCTTTTTTCATTGGTGTAAAAAAATGTTTCATATTAAATCCAAGGCAGGCTTTACTCATCTTCATCTGAAGAAAATATACATTTGATATAATTTTTATAAAATAAATAATAATATTAATAAGAATATAAATTTACATACATTGATTGAATTAATATTAACTAGATAAGCAATCTTGACTGAAAATTTAAAAACGAAAATTTAAAATAAAAATGAAGGACGTGAATTAGATAATCGTTATCACTAGAAGAAGGTGACGAATGGCTTTCCTTTTCTTCAAAATGGTAACGCTGTTAGTAACGACGTTACTTTACAGCACTACTTAAGACAAACCAAAATATAATCTTTTAGTTTAAAAGTTGATAAGTCTAGGCTAAAAAAGCAATTAAGTATATTTTGAAATGATTATGAACTTCAATTTTTCAAATTTTATATTATTCATTTACTATTTTTCTAATAATTTCTTCAATAATTAGCACGGCTGGGTAATTTTAAAAAGATATCTGAAAAAATGTATTAAAAACGAATGGATGGCCTTATATATGAACATTTCAATGCATTTAAAGCTTTTCTTATTGTTTTAAATCATTTCACGGCATTTAAAATTGAATATCTAGACCTATGCGCCGATGCCTCAATTGACGTGGCTGATTTTTTTTATCGGCGTTCAGTGGCGTGCCGATTTTGCCACCGCCTAATAAATTAGCGGGGGACCCGTCGTGCTATTTATTTAAAAAAATTTTAAATGGATTTAATTTATAATTTCAAAATACATTTTTTTATAATTTATTTTGCAACTAACATTGTTAATATAGTTTGATACTTTTCTTAAATTATATTCTGCTCACTCTTATTTAAATTTATGCATTTTCTCATTCTCAGAAGTAGACTAAGGAATTTCATTTTTACACAGATAAGAGTCACATAACACATTTTAGAAATTTTTTATTGATTTTTATTAAAACAAATTAAAATATAAATTTGGAAAGCAAGCAAAATATAAAGTAAGAAATATAATAAATTAATAATCAGATTTAGTAAAATATAATTGTCATGAATTAATAGTATTATCAAGATTCATGTAACATGAAGAAGTCCTTTTTATATTAAGTATTAATCCAGTAATAGAAAAAATTATTCACCTGGGTGTACTGGTTGCATGTATACAAAAAACCTTCTTAGCTAAATTAGCATACATTGGCAATCGCTTTTTTCCAAAAAGTTAGTGTACCCTCTTCTGGTATACTGTATTGACTAAGAAAAATATGGCATTTAATTAAAAATTGCAATGATGTCATAGAGTTCGAATTTATATATTCTGAACCAATTTTAAGTTTTTGAAATCTTGGATCAATTAGTATCGCTAATATCTAATATTTAAAATATAATTTTATTATTATAAAATAAATTACTTGAAGTGTAATAATTGGAAACCGATGGTCAAGCTTTTTTTACATATTTTCTTTTAGGCAGTTGATATCTGAGCCATCAGTTTTATTGATTTATATATATGTTTCTATTTCACAGTGAAATAATAATCCTAAATTTATTGTTGACTCCTTTTGAGAGAGGGGAGAAATTCCACCGACTCTCTGAATGGATTTAATAATGTGTAAATTTCATTAATTACAGGTTACCCATTCAAAAAAGGAAAAGTCCCAATCAAAAAAGGAAAGGTTTCAAACAAAAAAGGATAAGGTTAAAGGATAAGCCCCAATCAAAAAAGGAAAAAGTCCAATCAAAAAAGAAAAATTCCCAAAAGGAAAGGAAAGTGTCTATTAAAAAAAGAAAATTCTCATTCAAAAAAAGAAAATCATAATCAAAAAAGGAAAACGTAATATTAAATGGGAATTTTCGTTTTTTTATTGGACCTTTTTCTTTTTTGTTTGACATTTTTCCTTTTTTGATTAAACCTTTTTATTTTTTGTTTGACACTTTTCCTTTTTTGGATGGGAAACCCAGTATATCCATTCATTATTAAAAAGTTTTAAGATTTTTTTTCTATTTTATTTAGAATATTATTTATAGGCATCTTAAGCACTACGATACTTTCTAGCATAACTAATATGCTGTGCCAGTGAGTAGCAGAGGTCTACAAAGTAATTTTTTGCTACCCAAGCCCGAATTATAAAAATTTTTGTCCAAGCTCGACTCGAACCCAAATTCAAATTTTTTTTAACCCGATTCTTGCCCGACTAAATTTTTTAAAATTTGAGTGTGATATTATAATATCAAAAAACAATTAAAAATTATGTGTTTTACCTTAAATAAAAGTTTATTTGACTGGCATAATATAATCAATATTTATATTAATTTGCATTTTATTTAAATTGGAAACATATATTTTATTAAGTTTAAATATTAAAAAATGCTGAAGTACAATCGAATATCTGTGATATAATGATAAAGATATATCAATGACATTTTAATAGTATCAATCACATAGTGAATAATTCTGATATATAAATAATGAGTCGAGTTTGTTAGCAAAGGCTCTAACAGTTGCTGAAAGCGCTCTTTCACTGCAAGCCGAGAAACCAGGGATATCCAGGATTTTAAGAGCTAAAACACTTAAATTGGGAAAGTCGTTTTGTTATGTCTTCCACCAATATAAGATTTGGTAACGATTTTAAATATTGAAAATTCGAGGCTATTTAATTAAATAGAATTAGTGAGGTATATTTTATTTAACTTGATAAAATATGATGTGTAAATAAATATGTAATAATCAAACAAAAATATAATAACAAAATAGATGCTATGAAAAATGATTGGTCCGTTTCAAAATATAAAATAAAAATTACATATTAATTTATTGAAAAATCAACACTATAATACGCCGTGATGACGACTGTTTTAGTAAAAATCTATTAAATTATTAACTTTTTAATATTATTTATGTACATGTTAGTTTCGATGTGTTATTTTTTTTCAAATTTGAATCGTTTTTTGAGCGCGTTTTTTTAAATTTTGATTTTACCGGAAATGTATGTAGCATATTTAGAATACCAATCTTATGAATAGTAGATAATTTTACCCATAACTTTTATGTCATTTATAATTTATATGAAAAATCGATGGAAAAACGAATATAAATTATATTAAATTCAAAAGTTCATGACAAATTTTAAAATAAAAAAAAACGCACTTAAAAAATGATTTAAAGTTGAAAAATAACACATTGATGCTAACATATATTTAAATTTTATTATTGAAATAGATGTAGCATATATAGTACCATAAAATAATGATTGGGAATTTGTAGTTTTTGGATCGGATAATATTACACATACATTTTATTTTTCATATCAAATTTAATGATCAAAATATTATAATAATGGTTAAAAAATGTAAAAAATATATGCCGCACGTTATCGACAACGCTCAACCATGATTTAAATTACAATGGCGACGCTTTTGTTTTGCTAGCCATACTCATATTAATGACACGAATGAAAACTATTTATTTTTTGCATTTGCCACTACAGATCATATATCACTTTTTATCCCTCAAATATAATTCTCGTATCCGAATTCAAACTTACACCGACGAATTAACGCCAATCGATTCTATATGCTCTATATTTGAAGGGGCAAATTGGTTTGAAAGGGAGGTAAATTTTTTTATCTTATATTTGTACACATAGTCAACTAATTATTAGAATAATTTATATGCAAATTTTTTGAAGAATACAAAACCTAAAAGCTAATATTGAGAGTTGAGATAGTCTTTTTTTGCTTATCACAAGATTTAATGATTTCTTCCGCATATAACTTATTGAGCGGTAAATTCTATGAGGGGCACTAAATGGTGGCGGTATAAATTTTTTTGCATGTTTATATAGAAATCGGACATTTCGATCGGATTCGACCGAAAATTTCATATTTCAGCATTTTTATGGTGAATAAGGGGGTTAGATAATAAATAAAAATATGCTAATCGAAATATATTATTTAATAAATAATAATTAATGTATTATTATTTATTAAGTATAATGTAATATTAATAGTAATTTATATTATATTATATAATATTAAGATTAATTTGTGTTTATTTTATTAAAATTACCTCTAAGTATATGAAAATAAAAAGCACAATATCTGCAATAATTTGTTAAAGGGCCCAAAAATTTAGTGAGAAGGATGGCCCTCAAATGCCTTTACCCCTAATAGTTACGGCCCTGCTAAAAAGATATTTTGAATGCAATTGTATTTAAAATAAATATTATTTTTAAAAATGGTGTTTTTGAATCCTGAGAAGTTATTTAGTTTTGTGTATTATATTAATGAGATATATATACTGTATTATAATTAGATATGAATGACGGTAAATATTAAGAAAAATTAAAATTGTATATTTGAAAACAGTAGAAAAATAAACGATTAAATGCAAAATTTGTTTATATTTTAATTTGATGAAAAAGAGTATGAATTTTTTTAAAATAAAATAAGTCTCTGTCCGAAAATTTAAAATGGAGTCTTACTTCGGGTAGGTAAAGTTTAAATATAAACTTATGGTATTTCATTACTAATTATTTCGAACATTGAGCTAGTTTAATTAATTAAATGACTATATGGATATGCCACTATTCCTTATATATTAGTGGTGACAGACACCCTTACTAATTTAATAATTGTTGCACCAATGAATAGAATAGTATATATCCGTAATAACGATAGAAAATATGACCTAGCAATAATCCTAAATATTCTAAAAATTTCAGATTTTAACATCCTTTTTTTAAACATTTATTTAGATTTGATCAAATAGTAAACTAATGGTAAATTTAGACATACTGCATACTAAGCAACTAATGACGCCTTTAAATTAATATAAAATAATCCAATATAAATATATTTTTACAAATTATTTATTAATCAATAAGAAAATGTTTTTTTTAAAATTAAGTTACATATTTCCTTATTTAAACTTAAGATATACGATCTATTCGGAGTGTTTTTCACTAATCATCCCGATCTTCGTCGCATTTTGACCGATTATGGCTTTCAAGGACATCCATTAAGAAAAGATTTTCCTTTAAGTGGTTTTAATGAGGTAAAAAATTGTCCATGAATATATATTTTATTATGTTTTTTATAATTGATTTTGTGGAGGTCTTAGGGTTGGGCACAATTATTTTTTAAAAAGAATTGATTAATTTACTAATTATTTCTCTGAAATTACTAATTGAATTAAGAATTATAAGTAATCATACTATTTGAGGTAATAGGCATTACCAATTTCAAATGCTTTTTATAATGTTGATATATGTAAAAAATATATAATACAAAATGCGATTAAATAAATTATTATTAAAAGGTTAAACCAGAGTTTGGAACTCGAACTTAAACCAGAACCCCGCTCTCATAAATTGAAGAACTGGAAGTAGAACCCATTTTAAAATCTTGAAGGATTCAATTTTAAAATGTATATGAACCAGAACCATTTAATATAATATTTAAAACAGAAAACCTTTTTTAGTCCAGGTTCCAGCTGGTTAAAATATGTTAACTAAAGTATTCAAATTTTTTTGATGATACTTGTACACATTCTTCTATTTTTTGATACGGAAATTTATTAAATAATAACCTTTTAAAGTGGAATAAAATCAGGGTTGGCAAGTCGGTCAATTGACTGGACAATTGACCGGAGGAGTATTTGACCCGTCAAATACGGTCAAAAACACTAAAAAATTTAAAGGAAAAATAAATTAAAAATATGTTTAAAAAAGGGAAAAACGGTGTAAATACATGTGATCACAATGTTTGCTTATTTTTTTGTGTCCACAATATCAAGAGGAGAACTCGTGTGATATAATTCAAGAATTGTCTATTTTACAAGGTAGTGATGACCAAATTATTTTAAGTGATATAATTAATTTCAGAAGCAAAAACAGTATGTTTAATATAGCAAATTATGTGGAAAGTAGTAATTTCCAGAAACAATCTATTCCGACCTCAAGTTAATAGATTAAACTTTGTCCACCCTGCCCATTAAGAAACTAACAATTCCTAGTTCTACTTTTTCTTTAGAAAGAAATAGGTCGATTGGGTTTATTCTTATGAAAATAGAAATCGATTTAAGATCTAAGACATCAGGAAAATTGATTAAAAAATATTAAAGAAAATGATAATATTGAATATGAATCAGAACAAAACTCTGCTACAGATAGCTACACGTTAGTTATTAAATGACAATGAATTTAAAAAATTAATATTATAGATTCATTTTACTATTATATTCAAAATAAAGTTAATATTAACTTAAAAAAACATATATTTGAATTTGACCACATTTGACCATATTTGACCGGTCAAATGCACAACCCTGAATAAAATACATTTTAATATTTAAACTTTTTCATAATTTTAATATTATTAATTTTTGAAAGTTTTATTTATTTAAATCATGACAAAGCTAAAAAGTCCTTCCACTAGTGCTGACTAAGCTAACAGGGTATTATATTTCAAAAATCTTTCATGGTGGTGAAATATTGGGCATCTCACTATTCTTCTTATCCGTAAAATGAATTGACGAATGATTGAACGAGCAAAAAATTGACTTTTTAAAAATATTATATACTATTTACATTATTTAAAAATTCTAATCCTATTACAAATTACTATTTTAATTGTAGGTAATCATTTACTGCCCAGTTTTATTTTAATTACTATTTGAACAGTTATTTATTGAGATGAATATTTTGGAGATTAAAAAAGTATAGGGGAATAAGGAATTTTTACAAAAATAAAACTTATTTAATATTAGAGGTCAGCAGCATCTACATGACAAGATATTCACTGGATGCAAACCCACCTCAAATAGATACCTACCCCTCTAAAAAAGCGCGAGATTTCCACATTATTACTTACAACTTTTTAATTATAATGGTACTCCCTTCATAAATTTTAAAAATAACTTAATTTATTAATGCTCCACTACCGTCAAAATATTATGAATGTAAAAGTTATTTTTTAGAACATGAATTCAATTAAACCCCCCTCTCCCCATTTACAATGAATGCAGTAACCCCTACACTTTCTGAGCAAAGGAAGTATCCTGAAAAATACCACCCCCTCCGAAAAAACAGCTTATTATTTTTTAACTACCAACCTCAATTATAAATTACAAAATTAAATTTAATTGCATCAATTTTTAATACACAATACAAATATATAGAAAATATATTTAAAAATATTATCTTTAAATCAATAATTTAGACAAATAATGGGAAGAAAAAGCGAAAGAATTTATAATTTCATCAATATTTAATTGTTTGAATTAATTTTGTTCTTAGATGAAGCAGAAAAATTTTAAAATAAACTATAAGGTTATAAAAACGAATAGTTTTCCCAGTTTGAATCATCATCAGAAGAAGAAGCTAAATAATGTATTTATATAAATATTTTAATAAAATGTATTTAAAATTCTCAGAGTCGGACAAATCTTTAGATTCTTAACTTCCACGTTATGTGTAATAATTACATCCCTCGTTTTAGCCATAATATAAATATTTCGAAACTTAGACATTTCTTCAAAAACTTGATTTGTATTTTAAATGGTAAAATTAACAGACAGCCTCGATATCATCATCCTTATCGAATGTCTTTTCCGCCATTCCCTTTGGTGTAAAAAATGATGTTTAATTTAAAAATTTTATCGATTCATCATTGACTCTTTCATTAAACTGTATGATGATCAAATCAAGTGCCATATAAACTGGTTTTATAGCTAAAATAAAATATTATATTTAATAATGAAAATATATATACTCTCCTTTTTGTATTGTAATGTTTGAAGTCTAGAACTTTCAAAATCAAAAAGGTAGATTTCTCCCCTTCAATCTTGTGCTTTTGAAAAAAACATTCAAAATATCAGTGTTATTATCTATTAGGATTAAAAAATTCTACAAGACAATAATTTAAATTATATTTCTTAAATTAATCAGGCAATTTTTTGCCAAGCCAATTTATTTATTGCAACCCCTCATCCTTCGAAATAGTTTGCAATTGTTTACAAACCAAGCTACACAAAGTGATTTAATAAAATCTAATTTTTCTATAAAAGCAATAGAAGCCATAGAAGTGGCAGAATCTTCAGAATCATTTAAATTTGTTAAAGCTGCCCTTAAGGCATCATAACGTATTAAAAATTTACAACAGATTTATATGATGATAGCCAGTTTCTATATATATAAAATAAAAATCGTTGCTATTTTGCCAGTACATCACTCTGACATGCTTTGAGCACTGCATATCTTTTAACACCATTGTAACACGTGAATCTTGTCTAAGATCCCTAAAACATTTTTTAGTTCTTTATACGATTGGCATAATTAACCAATAATTAAATTTAATCATGAAAATAGCACCAAATAAAAGTGCCTTTGAGGCCTCACTAATTAAACATGAACTCTTATGGTCTTTTTACTCATGTTTGAAGCACCATCATAGCTTCGCCCAACTAAGAAATCGAGGGGTAGATTAATGGAACTAAGTTTGCATAATATATTTTTTTAATATCAAAACCAGTCATGTTACCATTTTTAATATATCTTACTAACAAAACTATTGCTTTATTTCGAAACATCATGTGTACTATCAACTATAATAATACCTGTAAATTCAATTTCTTTTTGAATTTTTTCATAACTTTTCATGGTTTCAATGAGAATATTTATACGGCATTAAATTAGAATATAATTTGGATTATATTCCCTTTTGCTTTCTCTTCCTTCTTTTTTCTTCATTTTTTTTAATATACAATTTATATACAGGTTCCGAATCTGCATTTAGTTTAATAATGTCTTTAAAAGCTACTATTTCATAGTTTTTCTTTATATCATTAAAATTTATCCAACAATGTTTTTTTCTAATATGGTCTGTCCATTTATCATCTCTAATATTAGAAGAGAAAACAAAAGGGATTATAATCCATATTATATTTTTATCTATTGTCGTAATAAATATTATCATTGAAATCATGAAAAATATTGTTATAAAAAAATTAAAAATTAAATTGAATATAATCGGCGTTTTTCAAGTTACATATGATGTTTCGAAATAAGAAGCAATAGCTTTGTTAGTAAACGACTGGTCTTGATATTAAAAAATATATAATATGCAAACTTAAGTTCCATGAATCTACCTCTCAAATTCTTAGTTGGGCAAAGCTATGATGGTGCTTCAAACATGAATGGAAGGATCATAGGCAGGCTTTAATTAGAGCTGAGACCTCAAGGGTAGCTTTTATTTGGTGCTACTATCATGAATAAATCAAATCATTGTTCAATTATACCAAACGATAAAAGAACTAAGAAATGTTTTAGGAATCTTAGACGAACATTACAATCCAAAAAGGAGAGGTATATATATACTTTCATTATTAAACATAATATTTTAGCTATGAAACCAGTTTATACGGCACTTGATTTGATCATTATGCAGTTTAATGAAAAAGTCAATGATGAATCGATAAAATTTTTAAATTAAAAACCATTTTTTACACCAAAGGGAGCGGCGGAAAAACATATGTTAAGGATGATAATATTGAGGATATCTGTTAATTTTACCATTTAAAATTTAAGGTAAATTTTGAAGAAATGCCTAAGTTTCGAAATATTTATATGGCTAAAACGAGGGATATAATTATTACATATAACCTGGAAGTTAAACTTATTTTATTAAAATATTTATATTAATACATTCTTCTTCTGATTTTTAAAACTTATGATTTGGACTAGAAAAACTTGTTTAAACTTATCGTTTACTTAAAAATTTTTTTGATTACCTTAATTTATCAATTTATATAAATATTTATTAACCATTCTTACTATCTCATGTACTGCCGAAATGGTCATGAATAATATTAAATTAATAAAACAAGACTTCGTAGTACGAAACTCTTTTTCTTAATAATTTTTCATTTTATCAATGGAACAAAATTAATTTAAACAATTAAATATTGTTGAAATTATAAATTCTTTCCCTTTTTCTTCCCCTAATTTGTCTAAATTATTAATTAAAAAATAAAATTTTTAAAGTATGTATTTTTTA